CTGGAGAGCGGCGGCGCCCGGCGGCGAGGCGGGCGCTGCCGGCCGGGACTCGGGCAGCGCCCACCAACCGCTCCGCCCCGGGACCGCCAGCATGAGCAAGCCAGCCGGATCAACAAGTGGGTACCTATCGGGCCGCCGCGGGGCTCAGGCGCGCAGCCTGGGGCGGGCGGGCTGGGTTGCGGTGGAAGTCCTCCCCGAGCTCCGAAGCTCTGAGCCCGAGAGAGGGACTCCAGCGGTGTGTGCACTTTCGCCCAGCTCCTTGTAAACCGTGAGTCAGTGCATTCCGTGGTGAAGGAAGAACAATTTCGTTACCTCTGGATTGCTTGATTCCCCCCACCCCTCCCCTGCTCTCTGGTGTGGTGGGAAGGTTGTGACCCAGGCAGACCACCAGTCCCGCTAGTTGCCTCCACTTAGCCGCCAGGTGCGGGTGGGGGTTGGGGGCGACAGGGGCGGGAACTAGGCCGCAGACCCAGGCGGCAGCACAATAACACGCTCGCCCAAAACTCCGATCCCCAGAGCGCAAAAGCAACTCTAACTCTGCGCAAAGCGGATTTTGAATGGAATGCTTTGCACCCCGTTTCTAGTTATTTCAAATAATCCTGCAAACTGGGAAGCAGAAACAATTTAAAAGTCACATTTTCCTTAATCCTAAATCCGCGTAGGTCATAACTGGGGAATTTAAAGTATGGCGAACCGCTCTAGCAAAGAGAAGACCAAATCCCTAATCCCAAGGACTTTTCGAGCGGGCGCTCGGCAGAGGCAGGAGAATGCGGCCTGTTCCCTTCGCGCGCTTCTCCAGTTCCCTAAACTTGTTTAGCTGGAGGCTCTTGCTTGGAACGCCAAGCCGCGGCTCATCTCCAACCGCCCCTAGACGCCGGAGTGTAGGGCTGAGTGTATGTGCGAGGGCTTTTGCGTGCACCGTGCCTGGGGAACCGAGAATGTGCAGGCCAGAGCCGGCGTTGGGCTGGCGCGGTCACAAACCTTGGATCTCCGCGGGGCATTTCAGTTCCCGCCTTCTGGTGGCCCGTGGCTGCGGTTTCCAGGGTCCAAGGCTGGGGGTGGCCGTTGCCGGTAGTCTCCACACCCCGGGGTGCCCCCGCCGCCCTTGTTGTTTTCGCCTATAGCAGTTTTGGCGCTTGTGCTTTCCTCAAATAGCCCCTCCCCACACTCTCTCTCATTATCCCGAGTCTTTGAAAGTTAGGAGAGTCCAAGATACTTCTGAGGACTGATAATGAAGTCCCACTTGAGTGAGATACAATTCCTCCCCGCCCTCCCAAGAAGAGAGTTGTGTCCTCACTTTGTCCGTTTGGTTTGGTTTTGTGCGCTGCCGTTTTAAAAATTGGAGTAAAGTGAACGTGAACAAAAAGAGAAAAGTGTTTAGAGCTAGGGCAGAGAGAGAAGAAATCTTAGCCGCTGCCCAAATCAGAGCCGACACTGGAGTAGGACTGGCGTTTCTATTTAGCCTCGGGCCTACCTGGCCCTCACTGTTCGAATCTCTGGGCAAGGGGGCAAGTTCGCATATATTTTGTGGCCCATGTTCTGGCCTGTAAGGGTCTTTCCCGGGAGGCACAAAAGGAAAGCTTTCCTGGTGCATTCCGAGCCTCCATTGCAAAAACCGAAGCCAACCGGCCTCAGCAGGCCTCGGTGCTTTCTTACCGTGTGACAGGCCCTCACCTTCTTCCCTGGAAGTAAGGAGCCTCAGACCTTTTTGCCCCACTTGGGGTGCGGAGTCGCCGGGGTTGAGAGGCCTTGAAAAGTGAGGCCTCGGAGGTGAGGGAAGGTGCGCCCGCAAACTGGGTTTGTTGGGAGCCGCTCCCGGTACTGTGGATGGACTAGGAGTTAGGCAAACCCTCCGGACTTTTAGAGGGGAAAGGCAGAGTGACACTGGGGAAACTTTGGAGCTTTCTAGTTCCCCAGGATCCTGAGTTGGGCCTCGTAAGCCTCGAGCCCCTACGCAAATCCGGAGGCCGCCGCAGAGGTTTCTCAGGCCCGCAAGACTGCAGCTCCCATGGCTTTTCCAGACTGGTGGCGGCAGCCGGGCCCAAGCCTGCGGCCCTCCGGCCTGGGCAGCCAGGAGGTCGCGCGCAGCAGGCGAGGTCAGGCCGGAGCCTGGCCACAAGGTCTACGACCCGGGCCTCACTCGGTTTCGCACAGCTGGAGACCAGAGCGATGTCACCCGGGTGCCCCGCCTGGGTGGTAACAAGACCCCGGCCAGTCACCCCTGAAGCCCAGACTAACTTCTTTCAACAGCCTCTGATGGTAATTACAGTAATCGAAGCTGCCATATATCTTTAGGCAATTATGACACACAAAAAGCCCCGAGGGGACCCCCTGGTGAGGGAAGTTAAGAACGGTTTTCCAGCCTCTGGAAACTCCCGCCTGCCTCACGTCGGAACTCGCTCGAGTTACTAAATGAGAAGAGCTTTGCAACGGGGTCAACCAGCTTGTCTCGTGACCCCAAGTCACCTTAACGTGGCTGGGTGGTGGAGTTTGAGGCGCAGACCCGTTCTGCCCCCGAATTTTCGCGTCCTCCCTCCTGTGCCCCGCCCCAGGCGGGTATGTCTGTCTCTAATGTGCTCGGAGGTCTGCGCAGGGGCAGGGCCTACCCGCCGCCCTGGAGGCCCCGGGGGCGACGGTCGAGAAGCCCCACCGCTGGAGCCCAATGAGGGTCGCCCACCCCGCACAGGTCCTCTCTCGATTCCATTGGCGTTCTCCAGAGATGCGTGTCTCTGTGCTCTGGTTTGGATGGGAAGCGGGAAGGGGAAACCCCACTACTGCTTCTCCCGCGCGATCATCTGATGCCAAAAGTGCCACCGGGAAGAGAAGTACAGATGGGCGACAGGATGGCTGGCTCCCAAACACGGACCCTAGCTCAGCCAGAGGACGTGTGTTATGCAGAGGAGGATGGTTGCAAAATCTGGAAAACAAGTTTACTGCTTTCCAGAGTGAGGGCGGTTGCTGGGTGGTCGTTGAGTTCCCTTGGGCTCACTGACAGGCCCGAAGGGACAAGACCCGAAGTGGCCTCGCCTGCCTCTCTCCAGGCCCTTCCTCCTCCTCCCAGCACAACCTCTCCTCCCACCCTGCGGGAGAGGGGGCGCCGAGGCGGTGGTCCCCGCGCCGCGCGCCTCCCCCGCGGGCCTTTGTCGCCATCCGAATTCCCATGCTACTCTTTTTGACGGGTCACTGGTGGCTCTATAGGCAGGTGCTACGGCGGAGTTGTAATTGCCCGGGCCAAGCCCGGTGGTTACTGAACCCCCCTCCCCAACCCGGCCTCCCGCGTTCTCCCCTCCTTCATCCCCTGCAGCTCTTCCAAGGCCGTGGTCCGGGGTGCACGCCCGCCAGACGCCTCGGAATCAACCAGTAGGTTTCCACTTCCTGAGGCTCAGCCCTCCCCCCCAACGCGGCGCCCTCGTCTTCTCTACTCCTCTAGTCCAGTCGTCCTCACCCTTGCCTCTCCTAACCCCAGCCTAATAAGCGGTCCCCAACGTGAGAGCTGGGGGGAGCAGCTGCCGAGCTTCACCGAGTCCAAGCAGGCGGCCGCCCGGGGCCCAGACTAGGGGCCTTCGGACCGGTAGCAAAGGCGAAATTAAATGTAAAGAAGTTAATTATTAACTAGTATTGTTAACTATCATCATCATTATTACCAAAGTATTAATTAACACCTTATTTGATATTAATACTCCCTTTGTTTGCACGAGGATGGGTTTCTAAGTCCCTATAAACCACTTCAGGCTTGTTGGACCCTTGAATCTTAGAGAAAAATTGTTTCCTCCCTTCTGAATTTTCCAATATTACCCTTTCCTTAACATTCCTCCAAGATCCACAGCTACCTTGGGCTTGAGGGGATTCCAAGGAAACTTCTCTTAAGTCAGGCAACTGTGGAAGCCTGTGGGTGTGAGGGGCAGTCTAGGGGAAACCAGTCAGTTCCTTTTAAAAATTAGCCTCGGACAGCGGCAGAAAAACGGAAAGGAAGGGACCCACTCAGGATCTAGTGTAAGGAGGTAGGGCTTTAGAGAAGAAGACTTTGAGGAGTGGAGGGAGGAGGGGTGCTGTCCCACTCTAACCTGCCAGGGAATCAACACACTTAACTTCACTCTCATCCTGCTTGCTTAGCCTGGTTCTAGCTACCTTGGGAGAAAAAAATTTTTTTTCCTTTAATCATTTCTCAAAAGCGATTCACCAAGCATTTTTTAAAATAGGTAAAGTGAAAGTTGGACAATTACCACTACCCTTATTATCATTAATAATCCTAGTATTAGCATTACAATAATAATCCTAATAATAACAACCACCCAGCAGCTCAGAGAAAACTCGATTGCCTTCCAGCTGCCATCCCTGGTTCCAGCCGTGTTTGTTTTTCTTCTTTTCCCTTTTACATTTCAAGTTTGTCTCCTTGCGCACTCACTAACAACTTTCTCTGTTAAATGCAAGGGCCGGAGAGGGAGGCGGCCAAACTTTCCGCGGAGCAGAAAGGCAGCGGCGGGCTGTGCTGCCGCCCCGGCCTGCTGTAATCTTTTATTTCAAAATGGGTCTCGGCGATTAGAGGAGACCCAAATACATGTAGCGGTGCATGAATAATGCTCATTGTAGGAAACTGACACTTGCTCAAGGAAAAAAAGTTTGGCTATAAAATCACTTCATTATTTGCTTTTACCGCAGCTTCGGTGCTAATCCCTTCAGAGGTCAGATTGCTTAGCATCTCTCTCCCTCTCCCCTTTCCTCCTTCTTCTCCGCCCTCCTCTCCCTCTCACCCCTTCCCCCCTTCCCTGTCTTTCCTGCAATTTCAGGCCGTATTTTAGATATCCCCTGTAAAGTGTGTGGCGACCGCAGCTCGGGGAAACACTACGGGGTCTACGCCTGCGACGGCTGCTCGGGGTTTTTCAAACGAAGTATCCGAAGGAATAGGACGTATGTCTGCAAATCTGGAAACCAGGTACCTTAGCAGGGCCGCACTGCCCAGCTCCCCTCTGCCACCTCCCCCTGCTTTTGTTTGTGCCAAAGTCTCCTCTGAGTTTCCAAGCTGCTGAGGAGAGACCAGGCCCTGACCTCTCCTTTCCTCTCCCCTCCTTCTTACCTAAACGCTCAATGGCCCTTTCGCTTGGGAAAGGCAGGAAGAGGTGAAAGAAGAGAGCCGAGTTTGAAGGAGGAAAGCTGAAATCCCAGCACCTCCTCACATTCCCCTTCCCCCTACTTTTTTTTTTTTTAAATCCTCTGATGGATTTTGACATTGAGTAAGGCCTGCACCCAATGGCTATAAAGATAGCCCAGGGGACCTAAGTACAGAAAGGTGAAAGGGCTATGTTATGTTGCCTGTCACCCCACCCCTGTTCCTAGCAGCACCCAAGCTGGGTGCCCTGACCTGGGCCTTTCAGGGCAAGAGTGAAGGGCACAGGGCATCCCAGTCAAAGCTGAGATCCAAACTAAGTGCTGGCCAGTTGAAACAGAGAGGACATGCTGTATGAGTGGCTGTGCCCTTTCAGCTTCAAAGAAGCAGAGCTTCTTGGAAGTAAGCAGTGGGGCTTCAGCATCCATGTGACTTTAGCTGGGCCTTGTCAGAAAAGCTCAGAGTGTGCAAGAATAGAAGGCACACAAGGAAGGAGTAACGGGGAGCCTCTCCAAGGTTCCCATATCTCCTCTTTATCTGCTTAGAAGAGGTGCCTGGTTGATTGTGCTTTGGTCTTGAGCAGATAGAACTGTCTCAAAGAGATAGAGGAGTTGTGGCATGTACTGACTGTGAGCCAGAGCTTCCAGAAAGAGTGAACATACCCCTCCCTCAGACTCAGTTTCCAGCTCAGTAATAGGTTTATTTCAACCTAGAAGAGCAGCCTTTTGGTCCCACACTTGAACTTCTCCTTAGCCAGACAAACAAACCCTAAGCATAGAGTGACCATCTCCACTCCCAAGAAGATCCTGAGGAGTATAGTAGTCAGAAGCCATCCTTTGGTATCCAAAATGGTAAAATATTTTCATTAACTTTTAAATAAATGTATATATATGATACATATATATTGTCTGGTGCTAGTGAGTTGTTTATCTTTTTCTGAAGCTATATCTGCTCATAACAGTTTCTGATAGATTTGGGTTATCAACAAGAAAAAGAAGATGTTGCATTTGCATACATTATTTTGAACTTTCAAGTCCTGTTACCTGTTTAATTGGGTACATAGCTCTGTATCAGTTTCTAGCTTCACCATATAGATACATCATATTATATACACACAGGGGTGTATCCCAGGAGCTCCTCAGGAAGACGGGATTACTGTGGGTCATCAGATTTGAGCAGGCTTCTACTTAAAGTATCTTTTACTTTTATGCAAGGCACAGAATTAGGGGATCAAAATCTCAGATATTATGCTTGATATTTTCAAAGGGATTGGCTATCAACTCAAATATATTGATGTCAGTCCCAGCACTTGTAAAGGAGTAATAATAGATTCATCAGGCATGGTGGTCCTATTCTTACAGAGAGAGTAAATGAACTGAGCTGAGGTGCTCATCTTTCTCTCAGGCTCCAGATACTTGTATACATTTGATCTGATTTGAAGACACTCTTAAGAACTAATGAAGGCCTCCATTTTGCTTTAGTATGTTTATCAGAATACAAGGAGGATAACATTTGAGGATAGACATATGATTGCATTTAACATTAAGTTATTATTTAAACTTCTTTACATTGAGCTATTACATTGGTCAGCAAAGATTCCCTGAAGAGTTCAGTTAGGAAAGAAAAATAATTTCCTTTCTCTCTTTTATTCTAAGATTGGGTAAATAATATTCCAATGTATTATTAACAGTAATGAGGACGTTTAGAAATTGTTATGAACCTCTGCCCTACCTTTAAACAAATCAACATATTTTAAATCAGAGGAGCAAGATCTCAAAAAACTGTATGTTGAAGTGTGTAATTTTTCTTAAGGGATATTTCAGAAAATATGCTTACTCCAAATCCAGAGTATGTGAAATTTTGAGATTATGAAGCAAGATAAAATGCATTTATTTTATTCTCTTACTTCCCACTGCAAATGTAACAGTAACAAATAATAAAAACACAGGAGAGCACCAAACTTCTTATGTATTTCCTATGTATAAAATACATATATAGGTATGACTCTTTATGTATTTATGTATATGTTTCCTCAGTCATAATACCTAACACTGAATGAGTTCTACTAGAATTCGTCTCTATAATTTTCCTCTTTTAATGGCCAGTATTTATCCAGAAAATTGCATTAAGTAAAACATTTATTTTCTCATGCATCTCAGATAAATATTTCTAAGGCTACAGTTACCTCTTTTTTTTTCAGTTATCTTGCTAATATTCTCAGTCCATTTTATCATTTTGTCAGACAGTGCATCACATTATCTTCCTGGTCATATTTAATGGTGGGCATTTCTAGAGTTTGCCCAGACCTTGGGCAGTTCCCTTGCCATCCTCACCTCCGTAGTCTTTGCCCTCCTAACCACTCTGGCTTCAGCCTCACCTTCCAGGAATGGCTGTTTCCATGAATCTGGGCTGAGACTAGTCTTCAAGACAACTCTCAACATGCTGGTCTTAAGGATAGCTTCACGTACAAAAGCAAGAGCGAGGAAACAGGAGAGTGGAGAATAAATGGGAGATGTTTATCTGACAGATAAATGAGCTCAGCCAGAATGTGACAGGAAGAGGTGGACTTAAAACCTGAAAGCGGAGAGAAGAATTGGCGGGAGGGGGACGTGTCGGGGAATCCCGGCAGGCAAACCAGCTCCTTCTGAGCTCTGAGGCCTCCTCCTCTGGGGCCGGTCGCTGTCTTCGGTCCTGAAAACTCTCGCCCCTGCTCCACCACCTCTGCGCCGGGCGGAAGTTGTCCTCCTGAGCTTCTCCGGTCACAGCTGAGTCTGGCAAACCAGGCGGCCTAGCCTTTCATCTGCCTGGAGAAGGACTTTCCTTCTCTTCCGCTTTCAAAGGGTCAGGAACGGTCCTTTTGAAGTAGCCCCGAGAATCCCAGCGCTTTCTCTTCCTGGCCCTGCTGGTGCCCAGGGCCATCGCATTTCGCGGACCCAGGCTTGCTGCTCCGAGGTCTGTGGAGGGGTCCTTACTGCCTCCACACCGTTTCCCCCACCAGGCCCTGGTTTCGCGTCCCTAGTCTAAAGGCCCTTGGTGCTGCTGATCACCTGCGCTCTGTTCTAGGGAGGCTGTCCGGTGGACAAGACTCACAGAAACCAGTGCAGGGCGTGTCGGCTGAAGAAGTGTTTGGAAGTCAACATGAACAAAGATGGTAATTAGTACATTTTTTATCCTTCTAATGTTGGTTGAGTAGTAGGTAAATTTTATATGTACAGAAAATAATGGCACTCCTATGCATGCAAATCATCTTTCGAGTACTTCTTTCCAGATGCTCAGAATTGGCCTCCAGCTTTAATCATCTCCCTGCACGAGCCCCCCCCCCCCACCATTGAACTCCCTAGGGCAAGGCCCATGCCCACACAAAAAGGACATTTTCCCCACAATCATCCCCACGGAAACAGCGTTCCTGGGGGCCCCACTCTGCTAGGGACACATGTGTGACATTTGCTGCCTCACATCTTAATTCCTCTTCTCACTTCTCATTGCAGCCCTTTTGTGGCCATAACTAAGCAGGATCCAGCAGGATCTTGCATTCTCGATAGTCTCCCGGAGAGGATACCTTGGGCACTAGGAGACCAGTTGAAGGAGGGAGGGCTGAGACACTAACACGCAGAACGTGGAGTCTTTTTTTTTTTTTTTTGCAGATTCACCAAGATTCCAAAATCAGGACAGCCACTGGTGGAGATCTGGGCTTTTTCATGGCCTTCTCTCGGTTCTAAACAAAGGGGCTGGGGAGGCAGGGATACGCCAGTGGGTGCCTCGGACACCCAACTTCCAGAAGGTTCTTAAAGGCGCACAGCAAGAACTAGGTGGTCAGGCTGCTTTTGGGACTTAAGAGTGCAGTCCAAGTGCGTGCCCGCAGGTGGCCTGGCGAGGGCGCCCCAGGCCCGGATGAGGCGGGGGTCATGGCCGGGAGGAAGGAATGAGGCCTCAGGACGGGATGCAGAGTGGGCTTTGGAGGGTGGGAGGCCAGGGTTGGGTGGCAGCTTCGTGAGGCACAGCGCCCCTTGGAGAGAGCTCCTTCCTCCGCGGCGCAGGAAGCAGGAGGGAGCATCCAACCTGTTGAACTTGTGTATTGACAAGTTGTCAAGCTCGGCGAGCGGAAGATTGCCCTGAATTAATTTGTTTGTTTAAACTGTTGGTGGTAATTGTCACATCTCCCTGCCTTCCTACAGCACACTCCGAGACCAGCTTTCCCTCGTGCCATCCCCCAGAGGCCCTGGGCTCGGGTCCTTTTCTCCTGGGGCCCTCGGAGGCCAAACGGCATTTCCGTGGTGGGAGCGGTGGTGGAGGTGGGGGGAGTGGTCGTCTAGCTGAGTGGGAAAAGCCTGTGCAAAGATGTTGTGCCTGGCTGTGCACAATGCTCTCCTTCCCCTTCGTTGCGAAGAGATCTAGCTACTGATGCCCAGAGGGTCTGTGGTTTCTCTGAGACCTTCCCTGGGTGGGGAGGAGCCCTGAACCCACAGGGAACATGCCTAGTTTTGACTGAGGCTCGAGCATTATCGTGACAGTTTGGGCCGGGCTGCTCTTCAGCTTCCTTTGCATACAGTGTAATGGTTAAACGGTCTCTGAGCGCCCTGCGCCATCACATTCCCTCTCCCTCTCCCTCTCCCTCTCCCTTCATCTCCCGGGTGTCCTTACCTACCCAGACGTGGCCCTTAGCCTGGGAGCGCGGCAGTGTCTAAAGGCTGCGGAGTCTCTGATCTCGGGCTTGCGCCGGTCTGTCTCCGCAGCCGTGCAGCATGAGCGGGGGCCTCGGACGTCCACCATCCGCAAGCAGGTGGCCCTCTACTTCCGTGGACACAAGGAAGAGAACGGAGCGGCCGCGCACTTCCCCTCCGCCGCACTGCCCACGCCGGCCTTCTTCACCGCGGTCACTCAGCTGGAGCCCCACGGCCTGGAGCTGGCCGCGGTGTCCGCCACCCCGGAACGGCAGACCCTAGTGAGCCTGGCTCAGCCCACGCCCAAGGTCAGTGGCCTTGCTGGGTACGAGAGCGCGGCAAGTGGAGGGCGGAGGGAGCGCACTCATTCCTTCTGAACTGGGATGGCTCAGGCAAAAGATGGAGAAGACCTCACAGGGTGCGAAGCCAAGCTCCGCAGGGAGCTCTAGGCCTGCCACTCCCCCTTTTGAACAAAGGGTGTTCAAACTTTAGTGCGCAGTAAAGTCACTCTTTGATCTGACTACAATTGTGGACTCCCTGGTCTATCTCCCGGAGAGTCCCTTTCAGCAAGTTTGAGGTGGGGCCCAGGAACCTGAATTTTTAAAAAATGCCTCTGGAGGGGAGGGTATAGCTCAGCGGTAGAGTGCATGCCTAGCATGCATAAGGTCCTGGGTTTAATCCCCAGTACCTCCGTTAAAATACATAAATAAGTAAATAGATAAACCTAGTTACCTCCTCCCTCAAACAAACAGAACCAATAAAAAAATAAAATATTTTTAAAAACACCTGTGGTATGAAGCCCTGTCTGAACTGAGAGGGCAGCTGAGGTGTTCCTGGGGGTCACAAGAGCAGACATCCGTTTTTAGAAGAAAGAAGTTGCCTACAGCTGGTGGAATAGCCCTTCAGTTGCAAATTGCAAGGATCTAATCTCTTGGACAAAGTTATGCAAGAGAGAAATGTGGTGCTCACCCTGTTAGGACAGTTGAAGAACCTGGCTTCATTTCCCATTCTTCCCATACTCTCTTCTGAATCACGTGGATATGCACCAGGATTGAGTCTCTACTAGCAAGGCCACAGCCAGAACCACCTCAAAGGCTACCTCCTAGGGACTACCCTCCAGGCTTCCTGCTGGTACCTACCCAAAGCCCCACTCCAGGCCAGAAAGGGCTCCAGATCTCCCTCAGAGGAGGGCCACCTGCAGCCCCACACTGCAGGGAAGCCAAACACCTGGGCACATGCTCACACACAGTACTTAATATTGCTTTCTTACCCTTGATGTGTATAATAAGCTTGGGAAAGTAGTGTTATGAATATGTTGTCAGTTATGAATGGGAGTGCTCAGTGAATGATTAAGATGTCTAATTGAAATATTTCCATAATATACTAATCCCTTCTAAAAATACTCACATACATATTTGTGTTTGGGATGCCTATTAATTTATACTTTTTCACATCTATTTTTATTTACACAAATGCAAGCAGCTCTTGTCTAAATTGGGAGACAGTCCTGGCCCTTGGCATAGCCTGAGGAAAATTTGCTGAAGGAGATAGAAAAGCCAGATGCCCCTCTGGAAGGAACAGGCATCTGAAAAATGGAAATGGGCCTCTCCCAACAATTATTATTTCCCAAACTTTATAGATATTGATATTTGGTTTTTATCTCCCTATGGCAACTGCCTAAGCAGAACATCCATATTCCTATCTCCTTCCCTGGTCTAATAAGAAAAATATTAAGTCGGCTCTTCTTGCAAAGCTGTGGTTTCCTTACTCCCTGGTGTTTCTCTTTCTTCCCCACCCAGTACCCTCATGAAGTGAATGGGACCCCAATGTATCTCTATGAGGTGGCCACAGAGTCAGTGTGTGAATCAGCTGCCAGACTGCTGTTTATGAGCATCAAGTGGGCTAAGAGTGTGCCAGCTTTCTCCACGCTATCTTTGCAAGACCAGGTATGACCAAGCGGGCACACCTCTTGGGGGAATGGGGTTGGGAAAGAAGCAACAGTAGTCAGCCTTATGCAATTAGAGGTAACTAGGATAAATCACTAAGGCCAGGCATCTGTTCTTAACAAAAATGAGGAAATCACTTTTCTTAGCTGCTTGCTATGGGGTCAAAATATCTAGCTGTGGAATCCTTACTAAAGGAAATACAATGTTATTTCAGGAGAGTTGGATTTCAGGATGTGGTCTACAAAAAATAAATATACAAGTTCATTATCTCTTTTTTAGTTTAATTGAAACATCAAATTTAATCACAAATTTAAAAAATCTGAATGATTTTTTTAAATGTTAACAAAATAATGTTTTCTTAAGAACACTGGAAGTGAGAAGTTCCAGTGTTTAGAAGAACAGAATAGAAGGTGATGAGAATATTCCTTGTGAGATTTTTAGAACTAGTCTCATTATTTTATATTCTCAGCTTTGTGTTTTCCATTGTGATGCTCACAGTTTTGGCCACTAATTTATTAGCATGCAGAATTAAAGAGTGCATTGCACACCTCCCTTGATTCTTTAAGTGCTTTTAGAGATTTTGTAAACTAATAGTCTGGTACATAATTCTGTGGTTGTAAGTGACATTTGGAGAGAGAAAAATTATGTGCCATTAAAATTGCTCATACCAAAACTCAGAAATTTTGTTGTTAGAAATATCAGAAATGGCCTCTGTCAGAATTTTTCTACCCTTAAGGGAAAGAAAGAAAATAAAGTATTCACAACTATTGGCTGTTACAGTGCATTCATGGAAATTAATGACAAATTTCCCAAAAGGCCAATAAGTAGTTCCAAAAGCAAAGGATTTGTTTCTTTAATTCATTTGATACCTAATTAAAGCATAATAGTGCCCCTTAATATGAAGTACATTTCCTACAAAGAGACTCAATGTCTCAATGTGCTCAAAACATTTAATCTTCGAGCATGGGATGTTCTTTTTTTCATGGCCTGGACTTTCAGACGTGGTCAGAATTAGATACTGTTTACCTTGCATTTTAAAAGTATTATTTTCTGTACTTAATGCAATAAAATAAAAATAAACATTTTGAAAATGAAATCTTTTGGTCTAATTGTGATTTTGGTTACAAGCCTTCACAATTCAACCCTTAGCTCTCAAAAGGAAATCCTTTCACATAAATCATCCCAGACTAACTGGTTTTTTGAGATTTTTTCAAAAACAGATTTTTCAAGATGGTTAGTTTTTTAATCTTTGATGAGGTTTACTAGTTGACTCTGACCAATTGCTCCGTGTATGTGCACACATGTATGTGTGTATAGGTTGGCTATTTTTTCTCAAAACAATTGTTTGTAGACTCTAAAATCCAAACAAAATTTACTTACTGTCTGCCACTTAGCCCTTCAGTGGAAAGCCTTCAACAACAAGCAAACTGCATTGAAGTGGAATCCAGTATATTAATTTGGAAAAGGAGCCAGATTTTCATTTTAAATATTCAGTAGCACATTTTAGTAGAATGAAAATGACAAGCACCTTGATGCTGTCCAGTTTTGAGTCTCAGAAAAATCAGACAGTGAGATGAGGTAAATAAACTCAGCAAAACCTGATTAACATAATTACACTCTGATTTCCCTATATGCCTCTTGGGAATTAGTGATCGCTCTCTCTCCCAGCCCAGCCACCTCCACCCTCCAGAAAGGTGGGGACCCAGACCTGCATGCTTAGTCTGGAGTCCCCAGTCCTGATAATATCAACATTTTCTATGAGGAGAATCTGCCTGCTGAGATGCCAGTGGCATTTAATAGAGCCTGGGTCTATGGAGATGTTTCTAGGTGGTCAGGAACAAATGAATGCAAAGATAAGAGGGGCAAATCCTTTTCCAAGGGAAGCAAAATTTGGGGAATTGGAATGGCTGACTCTCAAATGCATGTGCTTAAGTATAGGCACCTTTTCAAAAAGGAAAATATGGGAAAATTAAGAAAAACTAGAATATTCAAAGGAAAAACTACCAAGACAGACATTTAAAGCACTTTTTTAAATAATGAAAATTTACATATTGAAATTGTTTATAAATTTATAAATTACACGCTATATTATATTATACATCTATTGTATGACAGCTGATGCTTTTGGAAGATGCTTGGAGAGAACTGTTTGTTCTAGGAATAGCACAATGGGCCATTCCGGTTGATGCTAACACTCTACTGGCTGTATCTGGTAAGAATTGCACAATTTAATGACTTTGTTGTAGAAATTACCATAAAAATACATTACTGAAAAAAGAACAACATGTAAAGAATAACAAATTCCTGCTGAACAATAGAGTATACCTGTCATTTATAAATCTATATTTAAATGCAAATAATGTTGTTTTGTTGTATTCATGACTGCTTGCATTGTTATTTAAATGCAAATTACTGTGTTTGTTATCATCCAAGAGAAGATTTTATATTAACTTTCATACAATATAGCCAGTTTACATGGAATCAGATATCTTAGAGTGACAATTGAACAGATATTGATATGCAAGATTTTGTCAAAAATCAATATTAAATCATGAAAAATACCTTCATACTAGAGGATTTATTCCATATTTTTATTCTAGGCATGAATGGTGACAACACAGATTCCCAGAAGCTGAACAAGATCATATCTGAAATACAGGCTTTACAAGAGGTGGTGGCTCGGTTTAGACAACTACGGTTAGATGCTACTGAATTTGCCTGTCTAAAATGCATCGTCACTTTCAAAGCTGGTAAGCAGACACAAACCGCTGTCGCTTCTCCTTCCCTCGTTTTGCCACCTCACTAATTCAGCCACCTCCAAGTTCAGAATGACCCTTGCAAAAAGAGATGATGGTTTTCAAGGGAATTGATGCTCTTAGTCTGGCTCCATTTTTGATAGCCATGGGCACCTGCATGTTCTCCTTCTGCCCATCCACTTCCAGAGAGTGCTTTCCCCATCTACATTTCCTGTGATGCCTATCATAGTTTCCTGGTCTTCATTTCTAGTTCCTACACACAGTGGTTCTGAACTGAGAAGTTTCCGGAATGCTGCCGCCATCGCAGCTCTTCAGGATGAGGCTCAGCTAACTCTCAACAGCTATATCCATACCAGGTGACCCTTGTTTGCCTTGAGAGTGTACTTAAGAAAATTGCTTCCATTGTGAATATGTGAGCAGGCAGTAAAGAGCAAGTTGAAACGTTGTGATTAATTATATTGTCTACAGCCAGTTAATTTAGTTAGAATCTATGTCCTCACCTATTTTGAAGGATGGGTGAGAGGAGCAAATCAAATTAGATTATCAAAGTGAAAGGGCTACTAGCCACCCAGCAGCTGTCCTGGATAAACAAGTTGATCAATCAAAATAGTTGAACAGGGGGAGGGTGTAGCTCAGTGGTAGAGTGCACGTTTAGCATGCACAAGATCCTGAGTTCTAATCCCCAGTACCTCCATTAAATAAACAAACAAACCTAATTACCTCCCCCACCAGAACAAGCCCCACAAAATAATTGAACACATTTAGGTGAATGGACCCAGATATGGACAAGGTAAAAAATGAAGGTTAAAGTGTTATATAGGCTGATATATTAGAGAGAGGTCACATGATCCTCTAAAAAAGACAGGTGCCTTTTTTTGGATGCCGATCCCACAGAGAAGGACCAGAGAACTTCCTAAAGACGTTACCTTTAACCCCATCATAACTGCTGTCTGGCTTTGGTGACTGGTATCTTTTGAGCTGTTCTGGGTCATAGCATCCACCAGGTTACTTCTGGTCAAGCATGGCTCACTGACAGAGACTGTTCTTGGTTATTTATAGAAACTCTCAGTTACTGGGGTTCCAGCAGTGCTCCTCGTAACCCACCAAATGGACAAATCCACCAAGAGGTGTAGACCTTCTGCTTCCATTTTCAGATGAAAAAAGCAAGGCTTTTAAAGAGCAGTGGAACCTACCAGGTGTTGATTTAGTCAAGACTTTGCTGAGTACTCACTTTGTGCAGGGCTCCTGGTGAGCACTGTGGGACATGAGAAAGGACAAGACACTGCCTCTTATCATTGAGAAAGTAGGCAGAAGTGTTACTCCAACTCAGACCAGGGGAAAGAAAAAGCAAAGTGGGGAGTGAGAGAGATAAATTCTAGTTGGAAGGGCTGAGAAAAAAAATCTGGAAAGTCTGGTGGATACAGAAGAAGATATGTAAGCTGGTCCTTGAATGGTAGGGCTCCAGCAGGGTGGGGTGGCCAAAAGGAGCCAGAAGAGGGGCTGGTAGAGGTGCCTTGGGAGGTGCCAGAGAGGAAAGTAAGGAGAGTCTGCGAGAGCTTAACATCCCAGGAGCTACTTCTAGGGCTACCTGAGAGAGTTAAACCACAAATTAACAGAAGTCTATTTTAAAGAAACTACAAATGTACTACTTCTCCCTCACCCTCAAAACATGAGGTTATTCATGGAAGGAATACATTTGCTTTGACATGAACTTTTTATTTCATGATGTCAGTTACAGCTGTAATTTAGTATTAATATCTAGAGTCATACATGTGACAAAACTGACTATGCCTTACTTCTTAGCTCCTTCAAATTAATGAACATTATTCTGTAGCACTTTACTGTCAAGAAAAATAATATCTGAAATTGAAATGAAAAGTTAACATTGTAAACTGAGCTAATTGTGCATTAATTCTCAAAACTGCAAACCGAGCTAATTGTTACAGCGCTATAAGTGATTTCTCTATCTAGGACATCAGGAGAAGGCTAGAAATTGGCATTTCACACAAACTACATCTTATAACCAAAGAGCACATACACGAATCTGTGACAAAACACTTACACCTGAAGAGAAAATTTTCTTATATATGCTGATGGATGAGTCAGGGGCATAGATATTCTACAAAATAATTTTGAGTAGTCAGAGAGTCTCTCTGTCTCTGTCTCTGTCTCTCTCTCTCACACACACACACACTGTTATGTTTCTGAGTAGTACAATACTCCACATATAATAAACAATTTGCATTGACTGACTAACCAGCCCCTTCCTAACTAGAGAATGAAAGAATTGGGTGAGTAGGGGAGTAGATAATCTACTCACAGAAAATAAAGAGTTAATTATCTATGAAGTCTCCAAAATCCACCCTTTCTGAAAGTAACTATTTCCCACGGTGAGAAATTTCAGCATGCTGGGTGGGTGCTGCAGACATGGTGGGGGCTTGTGTGCCACTGCTTCCCACCCACTGCAGGGAGCTTCTCTGCCTGCCTTGGGAGGGAAACAGAGCTATTGAAGAGTGTAGGTAGCCAAGGCAAAAGGGAGACATGAGCCATGGGATTGCTTTCCAAGAAACATAGGAGATGCTTTCAGCAGGGAGAGCAAGTGGTGGGATTTAAGTATTTTTTAAAGTGTAGAGGATCTCCACCATGTCCATACCACATTATTAAATTTGGCCTGGTGGTCCCTGTCCATGGGTGGTCGTGAAGCTGGGTAGTGAAAGAGCCAAATGAGGTCTTCAGAGGCCCAGAATGAATTATCAACTTAGTATCAGGTTGAAGAGATGGACTCTCTTGTGCCCAGAGCTAAGAGACAAGTATGAAAGTTGCTCCCCTCGACTCTATTGGGCAGTTAAACTCAATGTTCGGCTAACTCAGTGTTCTTAATTCCTGTGTAGGAATTTGTATATCTGTCAGTTTCTAGAACCTATGGCCATGGGTTGAACCTGGCTGAGTTACAGACAAGTGTCCCCGAAGCTCAGTGTTTCGGGTGGTTTGTGTCACTGGAAAGAGCCCTCCTGGTGGACTGTATTGATACCTGTTCCAAGCTGTTGATTGAAGAAGCATCAGGGCTGCAGTGAGGACGTCACTTATATGCATTGAAAGGCAGCAGAAAATTGAGCTTGCACATCTGAGCACAGATGTATGTTGGACATTAAGAGGGGAAATTGTTCAGCAATTTCTCACATCTTTAATTATATGCCAATTTCATTGACATGAAAGTTGGGTGGCACTGCCACCCAACAGAACTTAATCTTTAATTTGCAGCGTAATAAGGGTGGAATTATTCCTGAGAGTGACTAAGTATAGTGGTTGAATAATAATTTGGAGAATTGCTTAGAAAAAGAATCCATTTTATTTGAGAGAAATAGTCTGGTGAGAATCAGAAAATGTGGATATTGTTACTAGTTTTATCATCGATACCATTGGCTGGTTTCTACACTGGCAACCTTAAGTTTATTATTTGGCTTAAACTTAGTACCATGCTTCTTAAAATTATTTTTTCTCCAAACAATATGCAACCCCTTTGCTATGTAGAGAGAGTCACCGTGCTTTTGGCAGCATTGTTATGGCCTCCATGCCTCGATTATTCCATCTGTGAAACAGGGACAGTAGTGCCTGGTTAGGACTCTGTTGCAGGGATAGTATGTTGTTAAACAGGCCTGATCAGGAAATCATGCTGAAGATGGTGTGTGTTCAAGAGTGAGATATTAAGCCTGTTAGTAATGGATCTTACCTTGCTTTCATGGCCTCTCCTGTTCCAGATATCCCACTCAACCCTGTCGCTTTGGAAAACTCCTGTTACTTTTGCCAGCTTTACGTTCCATTAGTCCATCAACCATAGAAGAAGTGTTTTTCAAAAAAACCATTGGCAACGTACCAATTACAAGACTGCTTTCAGATATGTACAAATCCAGTGATATCTAAGCTCTTCAAGTCCCCACTTTCCAAGATGGGACAGTATCTGATGAACTTCTACCCTTGGAGAACAAGTCTCAACTAACAAACCCTTCAGGAAGCATAAACCTGGAAATGTGTAGCCTTCAAGAAAAAAATGTCAATGGACACAAAACAGTTCCAGTAGCTTTGACCTGCTGCCTCACCCAGGATAGGGTGGCCCAGGAGGGAAGGGAGTGTGACAGGATGGCCTGAGCAGGAACTCACTGCTGCCATGCCCTGGGAAGAGGGCCGAACTGGGGGTTGCCAGAGGCCATGCCATTCTGCCTCTTACCTGGAAGATTGGGCTGAAATATCAAAAGTTGAATTGCAGGTAGAACTTTCTTTTCCCTTTTAGCATATAAAGTTGGGTACTGAATATAGCTCAGTGTATAACATCATACAGCAGCCTTCAGAACAACTATCTTATGTTGGAGAATTTATTTTAAAAATAATGGTTAGGTTTTAAATCAAAAGTTTTATCAAAATTTCCCCTTCTATTGTACTACATCATGAAGTGGCCTTCAGAACTGAGTTAATAAATGAAAGGTAGTTTATGCTGTGAGATTTTCTTTTTCTCTGTCTTCTTCCTTTCTCTTTCTTTCCTCCTCCTCCTCCTTCTCTTCCTCCTCCTCCCCCTTGTCCTTCTTCTTCTTTATACCATAGGCCAAGCAACCTTGTCAAAGGAATTGGTGGACGAAAATGAGATTCTCACCAGGACTTCAGGTTGGATAACATCTCAAAAACAAAAAAGCTTTACTAAAAGAACACAAGTTGAGGGAGGAAGAATAAAAACAGCAAAACCAAATAAAGTGGAGATGAATGATGGAGTGAGGGAGACTGCTGTCCCATTAACATAGTGCTGAAACCAAAGGCAATGGGGATGCAAACTCGTGTTTCAGCAAGTCACACCAGACAGTAAATGAACAGAGACGTGAGGCCAGAAGGAACTTCAAGGAGATGAACGCCAAAAGGCTTCTTCATTCATTGCTAACAGCCTGAGACTCTTCAATACCTTTCAGAAAACTGGTTTCTAGTAAAGCTTTGTACGCCTGCATGTGTGCACACATACACTTCGTCCTACACTATAAGCTGCTCCTTTGGTATGAATTTCTACTTACGGAAATGTAGAAACAAACATTTAAAAATAGCTGCTGTACTTTTCACATTTTGATTTATTAGATACTAGCACTGAGGGAAAATATTCAACACTTGGACTATCATAGGATGAGTAAAACTTTTCTTGTACAAAGTGAATTAACTTGATTTGTGAAGTTAAAATGTTGTACTCATTGTATTTACAAAGAATAAAAAGTATATTGAATTTAAATGAACTCTGCCTAATTTCTTAGCCTCCCTCCCTGGCTGGTTCTCATCCACCAGATACAAGGTGGCGGCCGCAGCTGGTGTAAAAACTGAAGTTTGGAGCACTGCAGCCTGAAGAACTGAACCACAAAGGCAATTTCCTTTTTACAGTGAATCCCATTTGTAAAGTGATGAATAAAGAAATAAAACATAAGATTCCATTCTCTGCAGCTCTCAAATGTAATTGCATCTGTTAGAAAAATTGCTGTGTGAGGAAGAAAGAGGCCGATTAACAGAGTCTTCATTCACTCACTCCTCTGTTTCTAATTCTCTTGCCAACATTTCAGTCCTGACCAGGAACTTGAAATTATTTAATGATCAAAAAAATAAAGTGTGGAGAACCATTTTGGTGAGTAAGATGTGGAAGGAGCAGTAGAAAGTGCATTCAAATGTTCTCAGAGAATCTCAGGGCACTGGTTCCACAGCCAGAGGCTAGTGATGGAAATCAGAGGTGCCCAAGGCCATGGGCTCCATGGGCTCCTTCTGGGCAGCATCTCCAGCAGGAGTCTAGGGCAGAGGCACTAGCAGCTCTTGGCTAAAATGACCTTGCACAGAGCATGTGTGCAAAATCAATGTCATCCACTGCTTGTCTGCTGATTCTACCAAGAAGTTCATCTTAAAGGAAAAGGTACTCGAAGATGTGTACAAGAATGTTCCTTGCAACACTGTTCATATTTAACAACCAAAATGTCCACCAGTGGAGAATAGATACATTGTGGTAAGTATAGACAGTCTTACAATAGTTAAAGTGAATGGACTAGGGCTGATGTATCAACATAGGTGAATCTGAAATACAGTGTTAGGCAAGGGTAGGAAGTGAATCCCAGAGCGTAGATACAGCTTGGTATTTATATAAAGTTTTGTAACCTGCAGAACAATACTTGATCATGTTGATAGATACATAAATGTATAGCAAATGTTTAAAACAAATAAAAGTATGGTAAACACTAGCTGTATGATAGTGATTACCTTTGGGAATGGCTGGGATTGGTGAAGAGTACCAAGAAGACCCTCAAACATTTCTGAAATAATTTAGTTTGTAAGACAAAAGAGAATTGGAAACAAATATGAGATCTATGACAAGATTTGGTAAAGATGAGCAATGGATCCAAGGCTGTGCAACCATGTATTAGTCAAGCTTTGCTTCAATAATGCTGAATAACAACTCCCAAGGTTCCAGCAACAAACTATATTTCTTGCTCACTGCACTGCCGGTCCCAGGAGGCTCACCTGGTCTGGGCTCCTCATTGCAGTTTGGGTTTAAGCGGACTCCAATTCCAGACTAGCAGCTTCCCTAAAGCAACTTTGCATGCAGAGTACAGAAGTACAAGGGGCTGAGCCAAACCATGCAAACACACTTAAAGCTGCAGCTCTCTTCACATGTATTCACTTTCTACACATGGCCAAACTCAACCTCAAGGGAGAAGGAGAGTCATACTCTTTGCATGGAGGAGGGGGAAATCACTGACCTATAATAAAATCTATCACAGTCATAATCTACTTTAATCTATTTAAAATATTCTCAGTAAAGTTAAAAGGGAGTAAATTTCCTGTAACATGCCACAAAATACTGACTCCTACTTGAATTGCCATTGTCGGGGGCATCTACCATTACAAAGAAGAATCAAACCTGGCTTTTAACACTTGAAAAAAACCAGAATTAAAAACCCAATAGCAGTCTCTTCTGGAATTTTGAGATCTCTGCTCTGTACAGCCTGGATACTTTAAGAATCTCCTTGCTTGCGTGGATTTTAAGGCAGACACCCTCTATGGCTGGTGTTGTGGGGGAGGTGCCACAGTAGTCTTTGAATATACAAATTCCAGATATAAAATTTCAATATATGCAATTTGAATATGCAAACAAGAGAAGATGAACCCAGCCAAGTGATTACTGCAGTTGAAAACCAGTCTTCAGTGATTCTCCTATGACAAATGTTTTTTTCTAAATCTGGATGGGTCAGTTTTCAAAAGCAGGACATATAATCACAGTACTCTAATACATTCTTCAGTGAACAATATTTACATTGCTATAGTGATGCAAACACTAATTATTGGTATAATTAAAAGCATGATAAAATTTGGGGGAGAGAATGAGGAAGGAGAGGTGGAGGTACTAAATCTTCACCTCATAATATTTATGAATTTTAGAATTGCTTTTTTTCTTTTTATTGTATTTATATGAGTTGATAGATGTTAACTAAACCTATTGTGGTAATTATTTCACAATATATGTAAATCAAACCATTGTATTGTGTTGTGCAACTTATATAGTGATGTATGTCAATTATTTCTCAATAAAACTAGCAGGGAAACAAATAAGATAGAGAACAGGAAAGAAAAGGAAGCCCTCAAGTTTTCGGCAAGTTGTTTGTATATGCGTGGCTCTCCTGGTGGTACATGTGACTCTACCTTATTTGCTTTACCATCTACCTAGTACTCCATTTTATGGGTGGACTACAGTTTACCCAATAAATTCCTTATTGGTGGACTTGGGCTACTTGCAGTTTTTCACTATAATAAATTAAACAACAAAGAACCATCCTTCTATTTACACTTCTGTGGACTTGTGGGGGTGTTTCTGTAGGATAAATTCTTAGAAGTGGCATTTCTGGGTCAAAAATTATATGCATTTTTAATTTTGATACATACAACCAAATGGCTCTCCAAAAGGGTTGTATCAATTTGCACTCCTGCCAAGAGGGTATGAGAGAGCCCATTTCATTGCTCAGAATTTAAAAGGGCTTAATCAGACACATGCTTGATGAACACTTCAGAAGCTGTTAGAAAAATACAGAGAATACATATGTTTCAATTATGAATATGCTTTTGCTTGCAGTGCTTACTGGACTGGTATAGTAGGTCGCACTTTGCACCCATGATTAGAACTTGGTTCCCCAAATTTTTCAATCCAGGCCACTTCTGTGAACTTTTGAGAGACCTCCATCATGACATGGGTGGATAAGTGAAAATATAGAAGGTGCTTAGCAGACACTCTGCTAAGAAGCTGCTCTAGGAATCTCAAGCCATTTATTTTACAATCACATTTTGTATAGTCGCTTATGGAAACTGAAGAATAATCACTCTAACTGAAGGAGAGCCCCAGTACCTTTATCACAAATGACATATGGCTTATTTTTAATGTAATCTATATTTTAAATTATGTTTTTAGATTTTTGAAGCTCATTTTGGAACATGAAGTGGCTTTTTATCCCTCCAAATATTGCTGATCTGCATACAGACCATTAGAGAGGGTTGTCAGAGCTTTCAATCACTGCTGAGCTGGGCTCATCAGCAATGTGCAGAGAGCAGTCTCTCTGATGAAGAAACCAGGACATTGCCACATAGCCTGGGCAGCTTTCTGAAGTACCAAAATGTTGCAGTGCTCTGCTGGAAAACTGTGAGTAGGGTCAAGTTCTGAGGAGGCCAAGATCATAGGTTTGATCCTCAGGGAAGCCAGGTGGCTTTATTCTGTCTGTGTTCCTAGTATCTCTAATGTCCATCAGTGGACAGGACACTGAGCAAGTGGCAGTGGAGGCCTGGGCTCTGCTGGAGAACAGCACCCAGCTCCTGTCCCACCAAGTGGCATCTAGGGCATCTTCTTTGTGCTGGCCTAGCCACCAACCTAGTGGAAGGAGTGCTGGCCAAGGTGAAGAGGCTGGGGTTCTAGTTATGATTAATGTCAGTTAACCTTTCTGCACCTCAATGTTTTCATCTGTGCAAAGGAGCAGGAGCCTTAGTGGTGTCTAATTTCCTTTCTGTTTTCACCATTCCCATCATTCTCATCATTATCTTTAGGTGGAGCCAGGAGACCACCAGAAGAAATTCTTCTTGGTGGCAAGAGCTAATTAGATTGATCGAATTTCCACACATGCTCAACTTGGAATACTTGCCCCTCCAAATACTTTCAATTAGACAAGTCGTTCTCAATCTTGGCTGCACACAGAATTACTTGGGGAGATTTCAAAATGCTCGGTGCCCAAGCTGCATCCACACCAGAGCAATTACATCAGAATCTCTGAGGCAGGTCCCAGGCATCTGTATTTGATAGCTCCCTGATTATTCCAGTGTGGCTGTGTAGCTGAGGATGAGAGACAATGACATGGCCTTTGGTCGGGAGCCCTGGGACAGGGGTCATGTTCAGGCTTCAGGGTCATCTGGGCCTCTCATCCCTCATGCCTGGTTGCTCTCCCCCTACTCACTGGTGACCTTTAAAAAAGTTAATTCTTTCCCCTCTCTCCCTCCTCTGGCCTGTCATTGAACTCACCCAACTGATTGTGGCGCTTATGATTGAGAACCTCTTCTGACCGCTTCCCTTTCCCCAGAAATTAACGTGATCATTAAGGCTTATAATTTCACTCACCAGTGCTATCAATCAAGGGACTGCGATACAGAGTTAAGAGTGCTTTTGTAATTGGCAGCAGCCTGTGATTCGGAGCAAAGCATCCAGAGGCTGTGGGGAGGCTGGAGGAGGGGAGAGCTGGTGTGCAGGGAAGGGCTGTGCCCTCTTGAACTGACTCCTCCAGCTCTTTGTGGTTGGCTCCCACAGGGGCCAGCCAACATCCAGCGTCATCGGCCCTGAATGCCAAGGGGAGGAAGCCAGTTCTTGCCAGCAGTGCTTCAGGCTACCCCTTACCCACTCTAAGCTCTGCAGTGGAAAGAAGGTCTCTTTAGGTGCTGAAGAGAGGAATAGGAAAGATCAGTGGATTCTTTATACACTGGGCAACTTGAGTCTTGTGGGGGGGGGGCAGGGGGTCCAGATTATCTGTAGATCAGAAGTAAGGTTAAGGCTGTCAGGCCCAAGGGAGTGACACATTCTTCCCTAAACTGCTTGTTTCAGGAGACCTTGGAACCCCATAAACAGCAGTTGAGCCTACAGTAATGCACAGTCTGTGCCCTCTCTGGCATGCAGGAAGCTGAGTGGTCCTGGGACTACAGCTGTTTTCCCTCCTGAGGGGGTTGGGCTGGCTGATTCAGTTTCTAACACATATAGTGCCTAGTGGAATATCACACATACATGGTAGGTGGATTATGGTCCAGAGGTGAAGAGGTAGTTATTTTTATTTCAAATAAAACATTATAACAACATTAAAAATGACTTTCTTTTATTAGATAATAATATAGAAAAATCTGGAGGTGAAAAATTATCTATAATTCCACCTCCCTAACACAGCTATTTTTATGTTTGCCTATTTTTTCTACTTCTTACACATGTACCTATATATTTTAACATAGTTGTAATCATAATGGATGTATTTTCCATTCTTATGCTACTCTTACTATCACTAGCATTTTTTATTAGCATCTATGAAGCCTCAGAATTCTATTTGGTGTTTGCATAATAATTCTGATACTTGATGTGTGCCATAATTTCCCTCTCATTTACTGTTTTAGATAATCATTAACAAAAATTTTGACTAAATTCATGTTATATGGAATGGCATGCATAACACCTACTGATGGAGAATGTTAAAATGTAGTTTGCAGGTTCCCACCTCCTGAGGTTGGGATTCAGCAAGTGTGAATTGTGGCCTGGGCATCTACATTCATCTACATTCTACAATCCAGATGCAGGTGGTCCCGGCTCCATAGGTTTAGGCTGGTGAGTGACATCTCCAAAGTCACACAGTTGCTTTGAACCCAGAGCTCAGGCTCTTTGCCCAGCTTCCACAACTGAAGTTTGCAGTCTACATAAAAGACCAATCCCCTGCTTCTCAATATGGAATGTGTCTACTGAGTTAGTGCCTTTATTAGGAGCTTACTTTTCTCCTCACTCCATCTCACTGAGGAAGGAAGATATCTCTGTGGGCTCTCATCTCCCAGTGCTCCTCTCCAGTGCTGCCCCCTCAGCAGTACTGGGTCCCCAAG